CCTTTTTGTAGGGGTCATTGTGCAATTAATGAAAGTTATTGCAAAATATCTCGTCTGGAGCCTGGATCCTCGTATGGGATTCATTTTCACTTTTTGTTGACTCGTAAATTCATAGATTTTCCTCCTGGTCAATGTCTTCTAGTTTCAAGGTTTCTGGCCCCGGTTTGCGCCAAACTTGTTTTGGGCATAACTTTCTGTACGGGACTCGGTTTTTGATGCCGTTTCTTCCGTTGTTCATTTTTTCTCATTTTGAATCTTTTTTTTCATGGAGTTATGCCGTTTGAGCGCGTTTTCTCAAAATTCACTTTTCCGAACCCGACGGAGCCCTTTCGGGACACTTTTTTAGACTTACTATAAATATGGGACTTAAGAACAAAAAATCAGACTTTCAGCCTCCTTCTTCCTCTTTGGCCGGTAGCCATGGGAACACCTTGAGCTGCCACTTTCTCTCTCCTCATTTGATCCACTTTTATTTAATGAAAAGTCTTCGGCCTTAACGTTTAATGCTTGTCTTGACGCCGTGCACCTTTCCCCCTTATTAGAAACCATTTCTGACCAAATTTTGAGTTCGGGATTGAGGTCAAGTTTGGATTTTCATTGGGCTTCTTGGGTGTTCATGTAGATCGTGTTGTCCCCGACAAAAACTAGAAGTTTTGTCGGATTCGGAGCCGTTTCATTTTAGTGGGGATTTGAGATTTCATCTCAAATGGAGGTAAGGAATGTTTTAGGATTGTTTGTGTGTTGTATTGAGTGTTTTCCATGATTATACAACTCATATGTATGCCTTTTATCAAATCTAGAAAGTTAGTATTATTTATTTCTTTGTGTAAGATTTAAATTTCAAGGATGTGCATAGCTTAGATTTGAATTGTGGCATGATGATAAATTAAGCTTTAATATGTTTGTTAACATATATTAAATAGGGATTATTTGAATAAGAGTTGAGCTTTTTATTTAATATTTTTCTTTTGTGAAAGATAAATTTCCATGGTCATACCTTGCATGAAATGAACTTGTAGTATGCTTTTAAATTAAGTCTAAGCATGTTTGTTAACATACTTTAATTTGAGAGCATTTGGACAAGTATGAAAATCTAGAGATTTTAACTTAAATGATTAAATAAAATCTATTTAATGGTTCCCTAGGCCTAGTTAAGCTTTTAACTTGATAATCATGAGGACTAGGACTTGTGTACTAGTATGTATTAAATTGGGACCATTTGAAGTTGCTTGAAATTTAGAAGTTTAATTATCATGATATAATTAAATTTTACCTTGTTGTACCATTGTCCTACTTGAAATTTTAGTGAATATATGTGGATACCATGATATGTTGTATAACATGTTTTAATTAGGGACCATTTGGTTGAGGTATGAAGCTTAGGGAAATTAATGTGGTTATTTGATAAATTTTCGTTATTGCATTAATGATTTGATCATGTATTAGACAATGGTTGTATGTTTAAAGCATGATTTTTGACTTGTAATGGATTCATGAATTTGTGATTTCAATATTAGATTATATTACCATAGCTTGTAACGAATCGCACACTGAAGATTCGACATGTAATGTTATATAGCGCGTAACAAATTGCGCTTTGAAAATTCGACATTTGTCATCCTATAGTAGTTGTGGATTTAGAGCATGTAATGTGTGGTTACAAACTACTTGTGCATGGGATGTGGTTTCGTATATATATAAGTTGTTAACTTATTTATTTTGGAGTCACTTGGGATATGGTTACTATGATATGGCTAAAGTTCGGCTTTAGTGCGGGAGGTATGAGTTCTCCCCAATTGAGATAGTGTGCACTTAGGGTGGTTTTCCCTGTGGGTTAGTGCCCGGAACAACCATTGATCTCGGCAAAATTCCGAGTCTAGATGTCCAAGTCTTCCATTATTTATTTTCGCATTCAATTCCAAGTTACCAATCATGTTTATATTGTGACTTGTGGTTTTGGCTATCGGCGATTTTGATGTTGTTAAGTACATCCATGCTTTATGATCTTTGTAGATTTTGATGTTGCCAAGTACATCCATGTTTTATATAAATCATTTCAATGTTTTTAAGTACATTCATGTTCATGATTTTTAATAAATCATTGTAAGCTTTTAATGTTGTTAAGTACATTCTTGTTTTATGATTTTAATTAATCATTATAAGCTTTTGATGTTGTCAAGTACATTCATGTTGTGTTGTTCAAATATAAAGTAGGAATGATCCTATAGATTCATTTGGAACATAGACGTTAGGTGGCATGATCACTTATGTCGTTTTCGTTCTTTAGATTTCAAATTGATGACTTTGAGAATCTATGTTTGTTGCTTTGTGTAAGCATGCTCCTATGTTGTTGCTTGGTATAAGCATGCTCCTATGTTGTTGCTTTATGTAAGCATGACCCTATGTTGCAAAAATTGCATGAATGAGGTGATTGATGCTAGAAATGATCTTAGGTAGCTAGGATGTTCCTTGAGTCTCACCTTTGACATAGACGTTAGGTGGAATGAACCACAATAATTAATCATGCAAACTTGTAAAACGTAGGTCGATGCATGCTCATTTCCTACGAGTAGCTTTATGTTACTCACCCCTGGGGCATATTTCAGGTACAGGATTCAAGGTTAAAGATTCTCAACATGCTTGGATGATTTGGGAACTTGAAGGGTTCAATTCTTGTAAAGGTTGGCTTGAAAAGCCATTTGTAACCTTATATGTCAAATGTGTATATTTACTTCTAGACTTGTAATGTGTGCCTAAGCACACTTTTTGATTCTCATTTTATGTATATGACATGAGGCCAATGGCCAAACTCCTTTTGAAATTACATTTATGTCAAGGATGTTCATTTTTGCCTTCGATGAGAACATATGGAAAACCATGCGTTTTAGTATGCAATTTTGCACCGGAGCGTGCATTGTGTATGAACTTCTTCCATTAGCATTCAATTAACATGCATGAAGTGTGGCCAAGGGCCAAACGGCATTTCAAAATCATTTCATGATTTTAGGTTTCAAGTTTTCATTCCAAACTTCATTTTTTGGCATTTTGGCCGTTAGGGGGTCATATTTTGCTTCGGCCATATTTTTGAGTCATGAACCATTGTAGCACATCTTATTAGGTAAGTTATGTTTACGTGCATGGTCTTTTCCGGGCAAAGCTTCTTCTTTGGTGAAATGAGCCTCCTACGGACTCATTTTACACTTTTGTTGCATATTCTGACCTAAGGGTATTTTGGGAATTTACTTTGGGAAATAAATTCCATTCTTTACATGGTCACTTAGAAAATGTGATTTTAGGGGGGGTTTCTTTTTAGTGTTTTTCCAGAAAATGCCATCTTGACATTGGAAATCGCATCCGAAGTTCAACTCTCAGTTTTTAAATTTAGCAGCTTTTTGGACCCTCTGGACCAGTTTTCTTGGGAGGGCATTTTAGGCATTTCAATTTGCGTATTTTTCAATTTTCCTTGAGATTCATGTAGAAAACTCAATTTTGAGGAGGATTTCTTCTTTGAGTTTTTCCAGAAAATGTCATCTAAATCCTCAAATTTTCTTTTTTCCCGGAAAACCCCTGCTGCCAGAATTTCTTGCTGCCCATTCTGCCTCCTTCACATGTAAACGGTAACCAGAAGTTTGGTAACCGGTTACATGTGCTTGGGCTGTGTTTTGGTCGAATTTTTTTGTCTCCTAACCAGTTAGGAAGGCTTGGTAACCGGTTAGATGATCTAGGGTTTGCACTTTTTGACCGTTTTGCCCCTTCTTCTTCCGTAAGCCATATCTTCTTCATCCGGACTCCAAATCAAGTGATTTTTTAGTCTAAATTCATTAATTTTCATTGTCTTTCCAATGGTGTGCTCGGTGGCACCCACTTTTAAGCTAGAAATGATGATTTTGCCCCTAGGTTTAATCTTGTTCGTTTTTGAAACGTTGCTTCCCCATTTAATTCCTTTGGGTTTCGTGACCTTGTTTAAGGGTCATAATGGTGTCTTAGAGCCATGATGTATCTCTAGAGACCGTTGTTTTGTCTTTTGCTTCCGCATTTTGGATCCGTTATCGGGTCATCTTTCGGTTCATCACTGACGCACCGGGTTAAAAAACTTGGGCCTTCACACCAATCCTGTGAAGCAGGTTGATGAGGATACGCTTCTTAGGGACTTGATTCCCCCAAGAGGTGTTCCTACTAGAAGGGACAATATTGAAGCACCCATTGAAGAGGGTAAAGGTTCAGTTAAGCTGACACTGAACCGTTTGTTACAGAATACCTTAAGGGCTACAATTGTTTCTCTTCCGCAACTGATACCACAACCGGTAGTTCACGTAGAGGAGACAGCAGTGCAGAAACGTCTCAAGTTGATTACGGGGTTTTCAAAGTTGATGCCAATGATGTTTGAAGGTGGTGCAGACGCGATGGAAGCAGACGACTACATGGACCAAGTGGAAAACCACTTAACTTCAATGAATTTGATGGATGATCATTTGAAAATCATCCTAGCCACTTATAAGTTTTCAAAGGAATCTAAGCTTTAGAGGAAGTCAATCACTAATCAGCACAAGATAGAGGAGATAAGTTGGGAGATGTTCAAGGGGCTGTTTTATGAGAAGTATTTTTCGGTTACCAAGAGGTGGGAGCTAAGGAAGCAGTTTGATGATCTTAACCAGGGTAACATGTTGGTGATGGAGTATGAGAACAAATTCACGTCTCTTTTTTGCTTTGCCCCAGAAATAGTGAGGAATAAGGCTGATAAAATAAAGAAGTTTATTTATGTCCTTCATTATCAAATGAAGCCGTTGATCACGGCACAGTATTTCAAGGTTTATGCAGAGGCAGTGGAAAGAGCATTGATGCTAGAAGTAGAAACGAATGATAGAAATGCATAAAGAGAACAATGGAAACAAAAGAAGAATGCCAGATCATTTTCAGAGGGGCCTTCATGAAAGAAGAACAAGGGTGGTTCATCTCAGTTTCAGGGACAACAGTCTGCACGATCGGCTCCTACTACTCCTATGCTAGCTGGATCAGATAAGAGTGGAGCCGTCTGTTACCAGTGTCAGCAGCCTGGACATTACAAGTCCAAATGTCCTATGAATCTGTCTGTAGTTTCTGCAACATTAAGAGCTTGTTATGGGTATGGCCAGCAAGGCCATCTAAATCGGGACTGTCCGAATTTGGGAGCAGGCACCGGTAGTGGCAAAGGGTCACAGCAGAGGTCGTTATAGTTGGCTACAGCTCAGTCAGGTTTCAGACCACCGCCGCTACCACAGCCTGCCATGTCTTCGCAGGGTTCACGACCAGCTAGAAGGGATACTCCTACTATTTCAGTGCAGCAGTTAGGTGTTCAAGTTGGCAATTTTTAGGCACAGGCACCACAGGGGCATGTCTATGTAGTTGTTCAGGCTGATACATCTTCTGGTCCCTCAGTTCTCTGAGGTATCTTTCTAGTGTTTAGTTCTTGGGCCCGTGTTTTATTTAACTCTAGTGCATCTCTTTCCTTCATAGCATCATCATTTGCATTTGCATCGGGGTTCGAGGTCAGTTTTATGGATTGGGCGTTGTGTGTTGATACGCCAGTTGGGGTTTCAGTGTATTTGAGCAGAGTTATGAGGGATTGTTCCATCATGATCGCCGAACAGACTTTTATTTTTGACCTCATCCTCTTGGAGATGACTAACTTTGATATCATTCTCAGGATGGATTGGTTAGCTTCATTTCAGGCTATGATCGATTGTTTCAGAGGCAGAGTCATAGTTTGCACTCCTGAGGGAGATTGTTTATTTTTCATGGGAGATCAGAGTGATTCCCAACCTTCATCATTGTATGGAATTCGTGTACGGAATCGTAGTGACCACTTCTTGGCTAGTCTTTTATCCAAAGAAGATGATGATGTGGAAAAGGTTTATCCTGCCGTTGTTTGCGACTTCTTAGATGTTTTTCGAGAAGATTTGACAGAGTTGTCTCCACATCGAAAAAAAGTGTTTGCTATTGATTTGATGCCAGGTACCGCGCCAATTTCTATGGCACTGTATCGTATAGCACTAGTGGAGTTTGAAGAATTGAAGAAGCAACTCGATGATTTAAGGATGAAAGGTTTCATCCGACCGAGTGTGTCACCGTGGGGCGCACCGGTCTTGTTTGCTAAGAAGAAAGATGGTTCTTTGAGGTTGTGCATTGATTACCAGTTTTTAAATCATGCCACCATCAAGAACAAGTATCCTTTGCCAAAGATAGATGATTTGTTTAACCAGTTGAAGGGAGCTAATTACTTTTCGAAGATTGACTTAAGGACAGGCTATTATCAGTTGCGGATTAGGGATGAGGATATCCCAAAGACGGTGTTTCGTACACGGTATGGATATTATGAGTTCCTTGTTATGCCTTTTGGCTTGACTAATGCGCCAGTGGCATTCATGGACCTAATGAATCGTGTCTTTCATGATTACTTGGACCAGTTTGTGGTAGTTTTCATGGATGACATTCTTGTATATTCACGATCTCAAGAGGAGCACGAGATTCATTTGAGCATTGTATTACAGATTTTACGGGAGCATCGCTTATATGCCAAATATGAAAAGTGTGAGTTTTGGCTACAAGAGGTGAAGTTTTTGGGGTACATTGTCTCAGAATGTGGAGAGTATCAGTGAATCTATCGAAGATAGAAGCAATTTTGAATTGGGCGCCTCCCAAAAATATTTTTGAGATTTGGAGTTTCCTCAGTCTAACAGGTTATTACTATAGATTTATGAAGGACTTTTCCTGTTTGGCAGCGCCTATGACTCGCTTGACCCGGGAGGGGATCAGGGTTACTTGGAATGAAACCTGTGAGTCTTTCTTTCAAAAGATGAAGATAAGGTTGACTACGACTCCAGTGTTGGTGATACCCGAGCGTGGCTTGGGTTATGTGATCTATTGTAATGCTTCACTTGACGGTTTAGGTTGTATACTAATGTAGGATGGTAGAGTAATGGCTTATAGGTCTCGACAGTTAAAGACTCATGAGTACAACTACTATACTCATGACTTGGAGTTAGCGGTAGTTGTTTTTGCCTTGAAGTGTTGGAGACACTATTTGTATGGTGAAAGATTCGAGGTGTTCTTAGATCACAAGAGCCTCAAGTACCTTTACTCCCAAAAGGACTTGAACAATAGACAGAGGTGATGGGTTGAGTTCTTGGAAGACTACAACTTTGATTTGCAATACCATCTGGGCAAGGCAAATGTGGTAGCTGATGCCTTAAGCAGGAAATCTCATGCGACTTTGGCTGGTCTAGCCATTCGGAAGTGAAAGATGCATGAGGATCTGGCAGGGATGAGACTACATTGCTTTGATGACGATGTTGGCAGTGAGCCAGCATTCTTATTTGGTCTTGTGGCTGATAAGCGCCGAATATTGCATATTTAAGTGCCCTTATTTACATTAGTTAAGTCTATTAGTTGATAATAATGTATAGTTTAGCTTTATTTGTTTGTTTTCGTTTACTTTCAGGTCGGTTCCCCCGAATGTAGCTAAAGGAATGGTTTTGACAATCTTTTGAAGAATCAAAGCAAGTTGTCGCTAGGGACTGTTATTTGAGCCAAGTTCCTTGAGCCATCGCGTGTATGAATGTTGCGGCATTGCATTCAAAATGACGACCGCGTCACTAGACCAACCAAGGTGGCTAAAGAGAAGGCTGAGAGTTTTTGAAGTCAAGGCTCCGCGGGCGCCCGCCACGCCACGCCACCGTGGGCGCCCGCTAATTATGCCAGTAGGTCGCCTTCTTTCATGGGGCCTTGCAGCTTCCGCTACAAGCTCCGCGGGCGACCGTCGTTTTGTCCAGTGAGCTCCTTCGAATCCTGAGAACCCGCGAGCGCCCGCCGGTGCACCACGGGCCCCCGCCGATCTGCAGGTAGCAGATCACCTGCTCCTGCTTTTGTGCTGAACCTTGTTCCCTCTGTATTTTTTTGTGGTCCAAATGACTTCTAGGGTGGTTGGAGCTCGTGATGGAGTGGATAAAAGTAGGTTTTTGCCTAGATAAGAGGGGAGAGGTTTTGTATTTTTCCCTATCTCATATTTTTGCTAAGTTTTAGAGAGAGAAAGAGGAGTTCTTGAGGGTTTGTGTATTTTGGGTCCTCTAGGTGCGAAAATGAAAGGTTTATTCATCCTTTCTACTAACTCCCTATCTAGGGAGGTAATGAAGCCCTCTCTAGTAAGCATGTTCTAGCTTTTGGTTTATTTTAGGGAAAATGATGTATATATGTGGGTGTTCCATAATCTAAAGTCTACACTTGATGTAATGAACTGAATTTGATATTAATGATCATGTTGAATTTATTTTCTTGTCTTAGAATGTATGTTCTCATGGTTGTATTACTTGATTTTTCATAGTGACAATGAAAAGGAGATTGTGGAATGGTTTTAATGGCATGTTGTATGAGAACCTTGTTAGTCCATGGCTTAGGATATCCCTTTGATGGATTAATCTTGATTCTTAACTTCATGTGCTCTTATCATGTGATTGATGGCTTGATAATCTCTAGCTTAGCAAGCATGTCTAAAACTACACACTAGTTTAGGTAGTTCAAGCATGTTTAACTTTGATAGGTTATTCTTGCCATTGATTTCATGAATTTCTTGAAGGAATGTAGCAATGTTGTGTTGTAGCATTTCTTGGTCACATATTTATGCTGTTTCCCCTAAATTTACCTCAACTAGCATGTTCATAGGGTAGGTAGTGGATTCACTTCCCTAGTCCCATCTACATTATCTTTATCTCTTTAATTCTTCGCAAATTACCATTTTATGCATTTTTCAATTCCTAATTTTAGTGACAACCCAAACAAAACTCTATACACCTTCATCATTCTAAAAGTGATTTTAGACACCTTGGTTGCCATAAACTAGCAGTCCCAGTGGTTTGACTTACCTGACCAATAGCCCTATTTTACAATGATATGCTATTGCAAAGGTTAATGTATAATTGACAACCGATCAGTGGCTTAGCCTACTTTTGTCAGACGAGTGATTGAGTCACAGAGACGGGATCTAGATTTGGATGCCATTCACATTTTGATCTCCAGTGGTAAAATAGTGAAAGATTAGACCTTGCATGCAAATGGAGGTCTACGGTTCAGGGGTTTGTTGGTTGTTCCCACAGTTTATCGTAAGGACATCTTATGGGAGTTTCACACTTCTTGCTTTGTAGTTCATCCAGGTGGTACCAAGATGTATCACAATTTGATACATCAGTATTGGTGGAACAGAATAAAGAAAGATATGGCATAGTTTGTGGCTAAGTGTCTTACCTGTCAGTAGGTGAAGGCCGAGCATCAGAGACCAGCGGGTTTGTTGCAACCATTGCCTGTAGCGCAGTGGAAATGGGAGCAGATTGCTATGGATTTCACGACAGTTCTTCTAAAGTCCTAGAGGGGTAATGAGGCCGTATAGGTCATTATTGATAGATTGACCAACACGGCTCACTTTTTTCCTATTAAGGCAACAGATGACGCAGAGGCATTTGGTGTACTGTATGTGAAAGAGATTGTGAGGTTGCATGGTGTTCCAATTGCTACTATTTCAGATACGGATGCCATGTTCCTTTGAAGTTTTGGGAAGGACTTCAAGCAGCATTTGGCTTAGCGTTGCACCTTAGTACGACATTTCCCCCACAGACGGACGGCCAATCGGAGCGTACCATCTAGATTTTACAGGATATGTTTTGGGCATGCGTACTTGATTTGGGAAGTAATTGGGAGGATCACCTTCCATTTATTGAGTTTGCCTACAACAACAATTATCAGGCGAGCATTAAGATGGCTCCATTTAAGGTGTTGTATGCCAGACCTTGTAGGTCTCTAGTTTGTTGGATTGAGGTAGGCGATACAACCGCCTTAGGACCCGACATTTTACTCAAGACTACTGAGAAGATCAAACTGATTAGACAGAGATTGTTCACAGCTCAGAGCCGACAGAAGAGCTATGCAGATAAGCAGAGACGACCGCTATCCTTTGAGGTGGGAGATCATGTCTCTCTACAGGTTTCTCCACGGAAGGGTATGTTGAGGTTCAGGAAAAATGGCAAGTTATCACCACGATTCATTGGACCTTTTGAGATTTTGGACTGCGTAGAAGAGGTTGCCTACAGACTTGCATTGCCACCACAGTTAGACAGGGTTCACAATGTTTTACTTGTGTCGATGCTACGAAAGTATAACCCGGATCCATCTCACATTTTGAGTTGGGTTGATGTGGATATCGATAAGGATGTTTCCTATAAAGAAAGACCAGTTCAGATCCTTGACACATGACAGAAGGTGTTAAGGGACAATGGTGGGTGTTAAGCACTAATTGCAATGAGAGTGTAGTGTAGCCAAGTTTGAATTTATAAAATGTCACTACCGCTACTAACTATAAATGTAGCTATACTAAGTAGGGATCGTCCCAAGGGAAATGAAGTGTATTTTTGCTTGGAAATCAATGTAAGATTAGTAGGTTGAATGATCAAAGGTAGTTTGATTGATTAATTAAACTAAAATGTAAACTAAGTAAATGTAATGTAAATCAATTAAAGTAAAGTAAGGTGTAGAGAGTATAAGAGAGAGGTCTTGGGACTTAGAGTTCACCACTAAGCATTACCGTCCTAGACATTCAATGTTTAATGGATTAGGGGGATTATGTGTTGTAAATGAAAGTGTGTGCCATTGATTGAAATATTTGCATGGATGGCTAAGTAAGCATACATTGTCTAGCCAATCTAATGAATAACACAACATATCAAATTAAACCATTAATCCTTCCATAAGCCCACAATTAATGCACACTCAACAAATTAGAGAAATATACTACTTGCATTCATAAGTATGGAACATCAAACAACAAGAACGGATTGTCCACCTATCTAAGAAAGTAAGGAAACTACACTACAACTAAGCTAGTTACATAAAAATTAAACTAATTAAACTAGGGTTGCGGCACAATCCATTAAGAAATAAGTATGAACCATCAAATTAACTACAAGAGTATTCCATTTAAGTATCATGCCTTGACCATCACCAGATTCATAATATCAACACACATAGACACGCATCAATGTCACAAAATCTAGAGATAAACACATAAACATCCATTCTAGCGTACATATACATATGAATAGAATTAAATGATTAAATGGAAGTATTAAACTACACAAATCATTGTAGAAACAAGATTTATATATATATATCAAAAGTCAAGACAAGAAATACAACACTAATCCCCATTAATTATAAAACATCAAGGTCTAGGAGGCATGCTTAGGCTATCTCTAGCCCCAAGAGATGGTTTAGCCACTCATTAATGTTGTCATCTAACCCTCAAGAGTTATCTCCATAGTAGAGCTTATCTTTCCCCTTGGTAAAAACCCTAGATGAGAGGAAGAACTTTTCCCAATTTGTGTGTTTTCTCTCTAATCTCTAGCCAAGCCTCTCTAACTAACCAACATCTTTTACTCAAAATAGCCAAAATCCTTATATAGGTAGCTCAAATGTCACACCAATGGTCAGTCCTTGTGCACTAGGACCTCCAAATGATTGCACCATGAGCACACATTTAATTTGGCTTAAAATTAATTTTTCACACAACTTGAGGCAGTTCGATCGATCACGAGGTTGCTTGGATCGATCGAACCTTGGCAGCGTACTTTTGGATAATGACAAGGCTGAGATATTTTTGGAAAAAAGGACAAAAGTGGTAGGTGAGGATAAGATCAAAGGGGTTCGATCGATTGAAGGAAATGTTGGATCGATCGAAGGAAATGTTGGATCGATCGAAGATGATATTTTGCTGAGGATAAGGACAAAAGGCTCAATTCATCATGGCATGGTTGGATCGATCACTGTGAGATCAATTGGAGCTTGAGTACGATCGATCGAAGAAGGCTGTTTTTCACCACTTTGCTCCTTTCTTCCACTGAGCTTGAGATTGCATCTTTTATGCTCTAATTCAGCTGAATTGACTTATTTTGGGGATTAGTGCCTGAAAAGGGAATATGAAATTAGACCAAAATGGAAAAATAAGATAGAATAAGGTCCTAGAATGTTCAAGCTTAAGGGGTTTAAATGCGCACTTTTCAGCGCTTATCACACCCCTAAACTTAAATATTGCTAGTCCCTAGCAATGAACTACAAGGAATAGAAAGAAATAAAGAACTATACAACTATGAATCTAGGAAGCAATAAAAGGATAACGCCACTTTTGTAGAGAACACGATTGCATTCAACACATGCAACAAGCCTTTTAAACCCCTAGGTTACCCCTAGTGGATGAGCGAAGTCTCATGAAGGTTTCCAGAAATGATACCCACAAACACTGAGCTCATTCTCACAAAAGAGGCACCAATATTTCACACAAGCATTGGGAGAAAACTACCTCAAGTATGCACATTTTCAACCATTTCCAAGCAATCTCCCAAAATCTCAATATCAAGTAAGCAAGTATGGTCCTCCACACATCAAGACAATGATCATGTAAATTAAAAGAACTCTAGAATCCTTTTTAAGTGAACCGGCATCAAATATGTTGCTATCTAACCCAACTAAAGAAATGATCACATCATTAACCTCAAACTAGCACACAAATCTAGTACCGATCATCAAGACAAAGAGTGGACCTTTTATTAAAGATTTATTGATTGAGGTGCGCTTATTCGTTTCACTCGATTTTTTTTTTCTATCCTTAAGGATCAAAGATGGAAACATAATGCAATGTGTTGATCTATTAAGCTTTCTAGCAATCCATGAGGTCGAGTGTTAGGTCAATAACTCCCAAACCGGACGACTTTAGGGCATTAAGTGTTTAAACTTCCCTAAGGACTTACAACCTCAACTCAATGAGGCTACAAATCAAAACTACCTCCATCTAATCATTTCCCACTTCTCACCTTTTGGGAGAAGTCTTCACTTTTTTATTTGCTTTTTGCAAACTTTTTTCTTTTTTCTTTTTTTTTTTGGTTTGTTTTTTTTATATCAAGTTATCAACCTAAAGTTTAGGCCCTTCACCTTTGGGTGCGAGAAATTGAGTGCTTAATGAGGCTAGAATCCCAGCTACTTAGTAAAAAGGGTTTGTTATCCACCTTTATCAAGAATAAAGGCTTTCAATGCCCTACTAGCTCATTTGGAATATAACCAAATCAATAATCAACAAAGCATGTACCCCATAAATGAATGCTAGTGTGCGCCTATGCTAGTGTAGAATCCTAGAGTGAATCTCAAAACAATAACAAAATCAAGATGATGTGGACCACAAATACAAGCATGATATCAATCTTTCAAAAAATTTACTCCTAAATGGCATCCACAAGGCATACAAGGAGTATTGGACTCTCAAGTCAAGCAACTTTTAAATTTCAAGCAATATAGTCCTCAAAAGATCAAAATCATAGCTAGTCATAGACCAATCATGGAAAATCCCTCAAGTACACAAGTCATGCTCAAAATATTGAATTGAATACAACGAACACACATTACCCCCAAACTTAAATGGCACAATGTCCTCAATGTGCAAAGAGAACAAAAGAAAGAGAAAAGAGTATACCAATGCAGCTATGGCAAAGAATGGCCAGACACAAGTATCCGAAATCGGTGGTGTAACCCCCCCAAACTTGGGATTAACTGTGGTCCTGAAAGGATGGCACTGGGATAAAACCTCATCAGATAACAAATGGGATAATAACAGTGTACAGTGGACATGCAAGTGTAAATAGGATAGTAAATGAAATAAAGAGAGAGGGGGGGATAAGGGTGGTCCTGAAAAATTTGGGCAGCACTCTCTCACTGAAGTCACTGGGATACACCTGATAGTGCAGTCAATCAACAATAGATATATTAATGTAATATCCAAAAACATCCATAATATCGAAAAAATAAAAGCAGCAATGTGTACATCACAGTAACCGAGCCAACAGACTGACTGCTAAAATAGGATAACAGTATTAAAGTATCAGTCAAAGAACACAGATATATATAATAATAAAAGAGAAAGGGATCAGGCAGAGGAACTCGGTCTAATGGGGCACGAACCCTGGATATCTCTGAAAATGCCCTACATCACAGTCAGCACATCTGCACGAAGAGTAGTCACATCGCTGTTGAGAGAGGCCACATCCGCTCGGAGGGAGATGATCGCATCCTCTAGTGTTTGGCTACGCACCCCCAAGCTGGGTGTCTGAGCTGGAATGTCAGGAATGGCGGGATCAGGAAACTGATGCTCGTCCTGACTCGACTCCTGATAATGAAGTGGTGACCCTTCTGGAGGATCCTGTTCCAAGTCAATATCCATGAATACGCCCTCAACCACTAGTGCGTCTGCTAGATCCTCGGCTACTGCTTCCTCCTCCTCCGCTGCCTCCTCGGCTGCAAGGATTGCCTCCTCCTTCAAACTCTTTATAAGAGCATTGTAGCTCTTATTCCAGTCCTTCTTGCCATAGTGGCAAGCCCCAGTCTCAGGATGCTCCTCAGACTGAAAAGGATAACGCTGGTCCCGGAGGATCTGAGTAATCAAATGTGCAAAGGGGAGGAACTTGGCCCACCTGGGCTTGCTCTTGCTGATGTAGTCTATGTATAGCTTCATCATAACACTCCAATAGAGTGCTGGAACTGAGAACCAATGGCATGTGAAAAAAGCATAAAGGGCTGCCAAAAAGTCTACCCGCCTCTGAATCTTGTGCCGTGCCATAAAAATATTTCGGTATAAAACCAAATCAAAGAACCATAGGTTGTCAAGCAAGTAGGTCCGGGTGGCAAAAGTGTTGCCGACACTGGCAACGCCATTAAGAGCTGTGGTCATGTCTGTATCTGAAGGCCTCTCTAGAATCGGATAGTCTATGCTAGCAGGCATGTGGACACTGGCAGGCTGTAGCCAATGTCTCAACTGTGATGCGAACGAGATGCCCATCTATAGTGGTCCACAACTTTGCCAGGTTACTCGGGGCCGGCCAGAGGTTCTGGTAGAACAACCAAAACTTGGTAGGTCAAATGAAAAGTCTCTCGTTCGTGACGTAGACGACATGGTCAAGTTTAAATGGTCACTTCAAGGCTCGTAGCCCCCAATACACCTCAACATTGCAATTTTGGTCACTTAAAACGACACGTAACCCCCGAAATTAAATTTGGAAACAAAAATATATATACATATATATATACATGCTTACGAGCTTAAATATGTCAACAAAATTAATCATGGAGGGTTCAAATCTAAGCATGGCAACATGAAATCATCTTAATCAACTTCGAAAATGGAAAAGAAAACTGAAACCTACCAAAGACGATAGAGA